CCCAGTTTTGGCGCGGGACTAGTTCGTCCCTGCCCCAAACCGCATGGCTTCAAAGGCTCGGCTCGCTTTGGCCCCGGCTACAGCCCCTGTCGCCCTGGCTTTTGGTATCGCTAAGTTTCGTCACCAAAATCCTGCACAAGCTGCTCAGCAGTCGGATTCGTATTGAATCGGGGCACGGTTGAACCCTGCGTGGTCCTTCAGGTCACGACCGTCTTCGTTGGGGGCCTCAGAAAAAGTACCAGCGAGGACAAGGTCATTGGCCATTTTGCAAAGTATGGCCAGGCGACGGCGGGAGGGCGGTCAGGTTCCTTTGTGCGCCAATTGCAGCAATTGGTTGAGGCAGTTTCAACTGGACGACATAGCAGTGTTGCAAATCGATATTGATTCCACAACGTCAGCCTGACAATTTGCACTTCAAGCGGTGGCGCAAAGCTGGACTTTGGATGGGAGAACCCTTGCAACATGAACAGGGGGATACTCCCCAGGTTTTACAATTATGGCGTATTTTCTTGGCTCCCTCTCTCACTCTCAGCGTGATCATTTGTTTGCTCGCATTGGCAACGAGAAAGGGACAGAGACAATGTGGTTGGTGACTGCATCGGACGTCATGCAGGCGTCACCGGCGCGGTAGTAGGCGCCAATGGAAATGAGCGTCTCCCCAAACATAAGGCTTTGAGCTTGCCTTGCAGCCAGGCATACATTTCAGGAGCGTGGACTGCATCGGAACACCAGTCCACTCACCCACCGACCCATTCCCCAATGCACCCATCCCGCCGGAGCTGTTCTAATGCTCATGCCGCTGTCGGTTTTGTTCAACGTTAAAATTCTTGAAAATCAGCGAGGTGGTTGAAGTCTCAATCGTTGCAAGTTGCAAGTAGGAGCAGCAATTGCCATATTGCAATGTGGCTGGCATGTTGTACAGAACAATGACCTACTGATGGACGAAATCCTGCACCACCTACGAAAGTCTGGAATGATTGTTGCCCTGTAAATGCCAACGAACAACATCCATTTGCTTAAGAACATTTTTCATTTTTCCCTTGCTGGTTTTAAAGGGAATGAATCACTACTGGAAATATGTTTGTTTTATATATGTTTTCAGGGGGCTTAAGCAAATGGATCACAATGGTTTCCCATGGTTTCAAAGTCTCGACGTCGTTTGGGCGAATGGCCGCGACACGTGCAGCATCTCTGTGCAGGTGGACAGCGTGGACATCAAGCGCCTGCCCGATGGCTCCTCCCGGGGATTTGCCTTCGTTAAGTTTTCGGACAAGGAAGGGGTAGGGTTGAAAGCAAATGCCGCCGGGTGCCTTATGATTATGGACTAGGCCACGGTAGCAATAGATGCTTGCACCTTGCAGCACGGTGCAAATCAGCCCAGGTTCATCAAGCTTGGTGGGCTCTCAATTGCACCAGTCAGGGTTCTATAGCTTCAACACCGCCGAAACACACACAGGCGGAGCGTACGTGCGACTCTACAATCATGGTGGTGGGATTTGTACTTTTCCCTGTTGCATTGGCTACTTTTTCATCAGTGGGGAAGCTCAAGGCTTCAAAATCTTGCAGGATTCCGTCAACCGGTGCGTGGAGGCAAAGGCTAGCCACATGATTGACAACAAGCCGCTCGGCAAGATCCAGGTTCTTAGATCGTTTGGGTGTAGGTTTGAAACATCACCTTCTCTCATAAGTAGGGAGCCCTGTTGGGGGGGGGGGGGGGCGGGATGTAAACCCTGGCAGGTTCATCAAGTCCCACTTGCGGGATAAGGCGAAAGGATACCCTGATCGTCAAGAAGTCTGGCTCAAGAACAGCCTATTGTCCCAAGAGAAACCACGAGAGTATGATTTTTTGACATGTCCAAGAAACCCCGACTTGCAGCCCAGATGCAGAGCACTGCTGACGGGCCATGGGTTCCATGGGCTTTGGGAGTTGTTCAGATCATGTGTTGTGGCAGGTGATGCTTGGTCACGCTTACCGCGTAGTGGAAGTGAAACCGGCTCTCCCGCACTAGAATTGCTGCCCCGCACGGATGCAAGCCCAAGTTGGCTTCTTGAACTGACTTCCCTCACCAGGCACCAATTGTCACTGTTTTTTCAGGGGACCTACCCCTCCTAATTACAATGACGTTGCGCATGTCTTCCATGAAGGTCTACCAATCATGAACACGCGTGTTTCTTCCAGATGCGTGCCTACATTCGCCTGCGGAGGGTTGGTCTGTTTTCAGCGGGGTTGCTGGCTGCTTTCCTATGGGAGCCTGGCCCTGCCAGGTCTAGCGAGTTTTGAGGACACGCTTGGAGGCTGTTGATCGGGCCCTTTGGCACCACCCTGTTGCATTTAATCACCGATTTACCGTACCCTTTGATGTCGACACATTCAGTTCTGTCGCGGTGCTTTTGGTATGTTGCTGATAGAATGGTGCCGCCACATGGCGATCAATACATGCTTAAGCGCGGAGGAATGAATGGGCATTCCAATCCGAGCCTGAGAGCCCTTCATAGAAGGGAGTGATGTAGCTGTGAATTTTAATAGGGAACCACCTGAAAAATATTTGGTGGACATGAATCCACACCTAAATGGTGTTCACCGAAGGGTCCCCAATTAAAATTCAAGCCCATATGTGAACCACTATCCCCTACCCTCCTGAACATGGAATTGGGAGAGGGGGTAAGCCCTGGAATTCCATTTATGGTTCCATTCTCCCTTTTTCTTGGGGAGGGGGGGGAAGACTAGATAAATGGAATTGGGGACCCCCCGCCCCCCTCCCCCTTATGATAGGGTGCATGTTTCATTACCTTCAGGTGGGTGGCGGTGAGACCCCACGGCGGCACTGCCTTCCAAGCGGCGCAGCATGCAGAGCGCCAGCGTATGGCCCACGACAGAGAGAAGGCCCCTGCCAGTTGAAGGTTTGACATTCTAGGTCCCCCAGTAGTGCCCTTTTACAAACTTTTTTTGGGGAGGGTTCCCCTACTAAACTGGCCTACAGAATGGTGTACGGGCCCTTCTGTATTCTAACCTCTCTACTGGAGGGCCTAGCATTGGATCAGGTGGGATCAACCGCTTCTTTGACACCTGGAATCTCCCCCTGCGTATGGGGGGTTAGTCTTTGGGAAGACCTTTTCGTTGTATCAGAGAAGTGGAATCCATTTCCCACAGCCCTGCGAAGGGATCCTTACCTGGTTACTTGCCTGCGAAATGGCAAGTTGTTGGACAGCGTCAAAGGGACGGCCCCCTTTTTTCAACAAAGGTCTGAGCCAAACCCCATGCGGCGAGACCTCGCTTGGAAGAAACCTGGAAGGTCATCGACAGTTCCACTTACGAACACGATTTAGTGCACATGCCGAAAAGGACAGTCTTCCAAACGGTGACCAAACCATGCACCTGGCAAATTCACATTCACCTACTGCGCATGTTGTAGTAGGTTTGCTAAAGTATCATCAATGGTCAGATTCAAGTTTGCCCCAACTTGATTAGCAGCTTTATGCCGACAGCAGCCTGATAGCCCCGGCCAAAATAGTGTTGGGTATTGGGCACTGTGAATGCCTTGCGCTACCCACAACCAAGCAAAAGGGAACATCAGATTTGGCAAACACCCCAAGCGCCGCGCCGCTTGCTTAGATTTTTCTTCGAGAAGTTGAGTGTTGATGTTGGCTTCGATTTTGAAGTGCTCCAACGCATTTGAAGGCTCACTGGGTTCGCTCAGAGCTACCAGCCCGCAACCCAAAGGCCCATGACGCCGTACCCCAAGTCATTTGCAGACCATCTATGAGCAAAAACTGGTTACCATACCTCAATGTTGGATTCCCCAGAGCCTGTCTTGTCCCGTTTCTAAAAGTATCGCCAGAGTCGGGTTTCTCTGTTGGGGCTAGCTAGATGTCATTCCCTGGCTGACTGCAGACACTTGCGTAAGGGTATGGATGACGTGCTTGTGGAACCAGCAATCGGATTCCTCAGTTTAACCCAGGCTGGCCTTCTTGAGATGAGCCCATCTATCAAAAAGAGGACACTTTGTTTGCAAAGCCGTTCTAAGCATCAGCTTTAGAGGGCTGAAGCTTTTGCAGATGCTGCAGGCTATGGGACAAAACTTGGCTAGATTGACTTTACGGCTTACACTGGACCTTTTGCGCGGCTTCGATCAGCATGTTCATCCTGGCGCCCTGTAAATTCGCGACGGGATCATATTATCAAGCGTCCTTTCCGGGTTTGGGATATCATGACTGCATGAAGACATCAAAACTTGGGCATTTTGGAGCCGTTGCAAGGAGAAGAAGGAGACTGAAGGACCTGCGACACAGGAGCCGTGGTCGAGCTTTCGTGGTCGGAGTTGTAAGCAGTGGATTTTCTGAGCGGGCCTTTTCAGATGTTCCCTTCGGGGCTGGAAAGGGAAGCCGGCCACCCGCCATGCCAAGGATGACTACGAAGAGAAGTGGTCTGAGAAGTACCTTCAGCAGGCTGCTTCGCTTCAGGATGATAAAGCCGACAGCGATGGCGATGACGGTAAAGAGAAAGAAGCGCCAGCCATGAACCCCATGATGGCTATGATGATGAACCCGATGATGCAAATGATGATGAATCCCATGATGATGGGCGCCATGAATCCCATGATGCTTGGCTGCACTTTTCCGCAATTGTGTTGCCGGAGGGAAGCTGCGCGGGACTGGCCAAATCACATATTTTAGGTGCTGGGGGACAGCTGGGCGAACATCGGGATTTGGAAGCGGGCATGCTTGCTCACGACTACCATAAAACTGCTTTACCTCCCTGAACCGCAGGCAGAACTGATCACGAAAGCTAGCATCGGCTAGCTGGAGTTCAACTTGGCGCGGCATTTGTCTGCCCTATTTGAATGTCCAGGAGGACAAAGAACATGTCGACGTTTCAGGAAGACACGAAAGACACGTCCACGTTTTTGTGGCTTGGTAAAGTTATGCAAAATGAGCAGTTCCGGACGGATATGAGGGACATGTTGACGATTCTACGGGGATCACCCTGGCATCGGTTTCAATCGCGGCTCGTCAGAGCGGTTTTCTCCTAGCTTTCGCCCAGTCCCCTCTGGCCTCAAGTACCGTAGGCAAGATCGCGAGCCAGTTGTTTACTGACAGACGGACAAGGTTTGGACAGAGTTCCGAAGGCTTGTCTAGACAACACGGTGCCCAAGATGAACTGACTCTTCCTACTTGGCAGCGATTTTTGAGGGGTCTGTGGCAGAACTGCGGCGGACACCCGTTTCATATTACACACATCACATTACCACAACCCTATTGGCTGGTTGCATGCCCCTCGTTGCATACCCCGATGTGTAACTCCCCAGGCTCCCAGTGGTTTCCCAATGGTGCCTGCAGAGCATGCTTTCGCTTCGCTGCACATGCCCCTGAAGAGTCAACTTGAAGAGAGCCTGCCATTTAGAAGGGCGTTGGAACAGGTAGCAGGGAGGTGGGTTTTCCACACTTCTTTGCGCTACTGGCATTGGCATGTGCACCTCCATAACCAGATGTGTGCCGCCTCGTGTTTCACATGCCCGCAAAAAAAAAAGTCATTGCCACTTGTGACTTTGCGCGACTGTGGGGGTACAGCGCGGCTCAACCTGTTTTATAACAACGAAAGCGCAGTTTGCATCGGAAAGCTGTCGTATAACAGAACACGCATCGGAAAGTTGTCGTATAACAGAACACTGACACAGCTGCAGCACTTCGACACAATTTTAGTGCCTCCGGCTCAGGCCGCCGACATTACAGGCCTGCTTTCTTATTTGCGTCCCTTTGGAATTGTCCCCTTGCCCCCTTCCCCTCTGAGATTTTTGCCCCCCTTTCTTTGTTGAGATCCATTCCCCCTTTCTGCCCTAAGGCCTTTTCTCCCTCTGTTTTTTCCCCTTTTCCTCCCTAAGATGTTTTCACCCCTCTCCCTGTTGAGATCCTTTCCCCCCTTTCCCCCCTAAGGCCTTTTCCCCCCTGAGATCTTCTCCCTTTGCCTCCCTAAGATCTCCCAGATCGTCTCCCTTTCCTCCCTAAGATCTTCCCCCCCCTTTCCTCCTTAAGATCTTTCCCACCCTTTCCCTGTTGAGATCCTTTCCCCCCTTTCCCTCCCAAGCTTCCTAAGATCTTTTCCCCCCTTTCCCTGTTGGGCTTCCCCCCCTTTCCTCCCTAAGATCTTCCCCCCCCCCTTTCCTTCCTAAGATTGTTTCCCCCCTTTCCCTGTTGAGATCCTTCCCACCCTTTCCCCCTGAGGCCACCCCTTTCCCTGTTGAGATCATTTCTCCCCTTTCCCCCCTAAGGCCTTTGCCCCCAGATCTTCTCCCTTTCCTCCCTAAGATCTTTCCCCCCCTTTCCCTCTCAGATCCTTTCCCCCCTTTCCCCCCTAAGGCCTTTCCCCCCCTGAGATCTTCTCCCTTTTCCTCCCTAAGATCTTTTGCCATTTTTCCCTGTTGAGATCCATCCCCCCTTTCCCCCCTAAGGCCCTTTCTCCCTCTGAGTTTTTCCCTTTTCCTCCCCACGATGTTTTCCCCCCTCTCCCTGTTGAGATCCTTTCCCTCCTTTCCCCCCTAAGGCCTTTTTTCCCCCCGCGATCTTCCCCCTTTTCCTTCCTAAGATCTTTTCCCCCTTTCCTTGTTGAGATCCTTTCCCGCCCTTTCCCCCCTAAGGCGTTTTCCCCCCCAAGATCTTCTCCCTTTTCCTCCCTAAGATCCTTTGCCCCCTTTCCCTGTTGAGATCCTTTCCCCCCTTTCCCCCCTAAGGCCTTCCCCCCCCTGAGATCTTCTCCCTTGTCCTCCCAAGATCTTTTCCCCCGAGATCTTCTCCCTTTTCCTCCCTAGGATCTTCTCCCACCTTTCCCTGTTGAGCTCCTTTCCCCCTTTTCCCCCTAAGGCCTTTTCAGATCTTCTCCCTTTTCCTCCCTAAGATCCTTTGCCCCCTGTCCCTGTTGAGATCCTTTCCCCCTTTCCCCCCTAAGGCCTTTTCCCTGCCTGGGACCTTCTCCCTTTTTCACTGAGATCTTTCCCCCCCTTTCCCTGTTGAGATCCTTTCCCCTCTTTCCCCCCTACGGCCTTTCCCCCCGCTGAGATCTTCTTCCTATTCCTCCTTAAGATCCTTTGCCCCCTTCCCTTTAAGGCCTTTCCAGATCTTCTCCCTTTCCTTCCTAAGATTGTTTCCCCCCTTTCCCTGTTGAGATCCTTCCCACCCTTTCCCCCCTCAGGCCTTTCCCACCTGAGAGCTTCTCCCTTTTCCTTCCTTAGGTCTTTCCCCCCTTTCCCTGTTGGCCTTTTTTCTCCCAGATCTTCTCCCTTTTCCGCCCTAAGACCTTTTCCACCCCTTTCCCTGTTGAGATCATTTCTCCCCTTTCCCCCCTAAGGCCTTTGTCCCCAGATCTTCTCCCTTTCCTCCCTAAGATCTTCCCCCCCCCCCTTTCCCTGCTGAGATCCTTTTCCCCTTTCCCCCCCTAAGGCCTTTCCCCCCCTGAGAGCTTTCCTTTTCCTTCCTAAATCTTTTCCCCCCTTTCCCTGTTGTTCCCCAGATCTTCTCCCTTTCCTCCCTAAGATCTTTCCCCCCTTTCCCTCCCCCTTTCCCCCTTTTGCCTTTCCTCCCTAAGATTTCCCCCCCCCCCCAGTTCCCTGTTGAGATCATTTATTTCCCCCCTTTTCCTTCTAAGGCCTTTTCCCACCCTCAGTTCTTCTCCCTTTTCCTCCCAAAGATCTTTCCCCCCCTTTCCTCCCTAAGTCCTTTTCCCTGAGTTGTCTCCCTTTGCCTCCCTAAGATCTTTTCCCCCCTTTCCCGCTTAAGATCCTTTCCCCCGTTTCCCCCCTAAGGCCTTTTCCCCCCAAGATCTCCACCCTTCTCTTCCCAAAGTTTTTTCTCTCTTTCCCGATTGAGATCCTGTCCCCCGATTGCCCCTTAGGGCCTGTTCCCCCCGAGAAAGATTTCCCTTTTCCTCCCAAAGATCTTTTCCCCCCTTTCCCCCTTAAGGCATTTTTTCCCCAGATCTTCTCCCTTTCCTCCCTGAGATCTTTCCCCCCCTTTCGCTGTTGAGATCCTTTCCCCCTTTCCCCCCTTCATTTCCTTCACCAGCATGGGCAACATCCCCAGCATCACTTGCATCATCCGCATCCTTGGCAGGCGCTGATGCGGATGATGCAGGTGATGCTGGCGATGTGCCGCTGGAGCTGCTAAGGATGCGAAAGCGCACCCGGGGGGAATCGAACACCCCAATGTTAGACCAAAACTTAGCCTCTATCTCTGTGGAGGTCCAAATCGGCCAGAAGTCATGTAACAAACCACGTCGCTCTTCATGTAAATAATCATGACAACAAAAAGGGGATGCAACAAAACATGTAGAAGATCATGTAAATACTGGGTGCCTCAAAGCCGACCCAAGTTGGAAGCTCAACAGGCCTCAAGCCACCCACCCACCAATCCAACTGGTCCACAAAGAGTGCCCTTCAGAAAGCCTTCAAAATGAGTCTTTTGCGAGAGGTCCTGATAGACCAGCAACAAGTGAACGCACTTGCAATTGCTGAAGCACTGCAACATTGGTCAGCCATATCCAGGAGGGTGTCACAGGATGTCTGTTTATCGGTTATCAGCCGTGCCGTACCGTCAAGCAATATTCAGGAAGGGATTGCAGGAGACTCTGTCTTGAGCAAATTTAATGAAATCATATGACACGAATCCTCTGAATCCATATCAAGCACCGACAGGTTGGGAAACCCGCACACAAGCCTACGCAGCCGAAATCCTAAGCCTGGCCTAGAAGTTTGACCTACAAGCCAATCAGTTGGAAGTGGCGCTGGGCGATCTGAATCTGAAGTTCATAAAACGTCAGGAACCGGAGGCGTCAAACAATTGAAAAAGACCGATCACAGGAAATTGCGGGTTGGGTGTCCTGAGTCCTGCAAACCTACTTGAATTGATTCTTAATCTGCATCTGAATCAAAATGAATGAATGAATGAACTGAATTGTGAATCAATCAATCAAGTTTGAGTTTGAGTTTGAGTTTGGTCCAAAGTACCCAAGGCTTCAAAGCGAGGATCGAGCTGCCAGAAGCCGCGGCGCAAACCATTTTTGCAAATCAAGTCCGTGTGATGGCCCAGGCAAGATGCAAGATCACTCACTTACCGCCACGCTTTGTCCTCTTGCTCGGCTTGTCATCCTCCTCTTTGCCCGCACCCGTCTTTTTGCCCTTCTTGCCCTTCTCCTTGTCTTTGTCCTTCTCCTTATCTTTGTCCTTCTCCTTGTCCTTCTTCTTGCCGCCCTTCAAGCCCTTCTCCTTCTCCTGCTTCTCCTCCTTGTCATCCGCCTTGTCCACCTTGTCTTTGGGGCCCTTCTTCTTGCCCTTCTTGCTGTCAAGGTCGGAGAGGAGGCCCACAAGCGCCTTGCAGCGCGGTCAGCGCAACTCCCCAAAAAAACATGTAACACATGACTACTACATGTGACCCAGCCCTACACAACAGCGAATCAAGCGACCCAAGCGATTGGCAGCCGGCAACATTCACCTTGACCCTGACTCTTGGGCCTCTTGTGTCTTGACAATTGGAATGGTTCTGTATTCTGATGATTCACTGATGATAGATTACGATAATGCAATCTGCAGCATCTGCTGATTCACGATTCACAACGTTCAACTACCACTGATTCTCAGATTGATTTATTGTCTGAGATGAAAAAAACCTTGACTCGACCATGATTCCGACAATGTCTCAGGATTCGAAGTAGCTGGCACTGGCACTCAAGGATGATGCGCCCAATTGGCGTTTGCAGATCGGGGCAACTTGTTTTGGTCAGTCAGCCAAACCTAGACCCCGGTGCCTTGGGAAGTGCATCCTTGCTGACCTCATACTTGGTGCTGCAAACGTTGTAGAACTCCTCCTCCACGTCGAGCGAGCTCCCATCCATCACCAGCTGACTGCCAGCAATGCTCGCTGCCACCACGAAGGCATTGCGGCTCTCCTCCTGGAAAAGAGCAACTTGTGCCCCCACCTCCTTGGCGAGGACTTTCATCTTCATGTTGCAAGACTGCTGCTGGTGCTCGCCGATGCTGGTCATGTGCTGGCAAGCCTCCTTGAGAAGCTCGTGGCTGCGCTGCAGCGCATCTACATCGGCGTGAACCTCGGCCTCGCTCTTGGACTCGAACACCCACGAAACCTCCGCCATTTGCCACACCTCTGCAGCTTCGCGGACTTTGCCATACTTCGAAATGAACTTGGTCACGGGAGCCAGCAGCGCATCCTTGGCCATGTCATTGCTCTTGGCCATGGACTCCAGGAAGCTCGCCTCAAACTTCTCGCACTGCGCCTTCACCGGCAGCAGCAGCGGGTCGCTCATGAGGGGGCACTCCCGTGCAGCCGCAGCCGCCTCAAAAACTGGCAGCCCCTCCTTGAGCCCTTTCCAATCACCTTGGCTGCCGGCCAAAGCTTGGATGTCTTCCTCCCACCTGGCGGCCCGCTCAAGGACCTGCGCAATGGGCTGCTCATCTCTGCGAAGCAACCCTGTGATCTCCTTCCTCTGCAGCTCCTGACCAACAACGCCACGGACGATATCTGACATCTGAGTCATCTGATACTGAGAATCTTCACTCTTGACTGTTGGCTCAGGAAGACTCATCATATAACTCATATAGTGACTCCAGACTCCAGACTCTACAGACTAAAGAGACTAAGTTGACTAAGTCTTGACTAAGTACTAGACTCTACTACTGTACTGTACTAATGTCAAATGACTCAAATGACTCAATGACTCATGACTCATGACTAAGAACTAAAGGACTACTAAAGGACCAATTAAATATTGAGTTTTGAGTCTTTTGAGTCTTGAGTCTTGAGTCAAGTCTTGAGTCTTGAGTGAAGTGACAATTTACTAAAAGATGCAAAATGCAAAATGCAAAAATTGAAAAAGGGTTGGCCTAACTCTGCTCCTCAGGTTTGTCCAAAAGCAACTGCACGGCCTTGGAGAAGATCACGCGCTGCACGCGGTGCAGCATGCTCCTCACCGCAGCCGCCGCCACCGACATGTCCTCCTCCGTGTCAGCGTCATTGCCTGGCAAAGCACTGAGGCAAGCTTCGGTGTACCTGCCCAGCACCTTCAAAACGCTGGGGTCGTCGTTGGACTCGAGCTTGAAGTCAAGCGTCGTGGCAACCCAAGCCAGCATGCCCTTCAAAGCCGGAGAGCTGCTCGCTGCCGGTGAGGCCATCGCCACACCCTTGATCAAACCTTAGCAACTGACAAATTCCTTGCAAAGAACTCCCTCCGCTCCCTCCTTCCGACTCCCGCCCCTTCCTTTTAAACTGCCCGGCCAGGCCTTGGCTTGACTGACCTAGGCTAGGTTTCCTACAATCGGGTCTGCTCTGATGTGTTCAAGGCCCTGGACTCAAAGGCCGAACGAAACGACTTGGCAAACTGCAGCCCAGCAGCTCCAGAGGCGGAACTGCTGATTGATGACCGGCGGAAGGACAGGCGCTGCAGCCGGGCCGGACATGAACAGCTTGCCATAGGCTGCAAGGGTGGCATCGCCAGAAACCTTGAAGCCGTTGTTTGCCCACGTAGTGATTTGCCCCATGACCTTTTTGGCATCAGAGAAGATTTTGCTCGCGTGCTCATCGAGGGCAGCGATGCTGGCCTTCAAATCGGCAGCGGTGGCTTGCTGCTCTGGCACGCCACTCTCCTCCAGAACGCGCACCACTGTCGGCCACGCCTGCAGCTCCTTCACCTTGGCAGCGATGTCGCCCAGCTCCGACTCTCCTTTCACAGAGTTGACCGCCATCAGGTCCTTGATCAGGGACTGCAACTTGACGGCAGTCGTTTGGTGCTCCTTAATGTCACCCATCTCCTTGGCCGCCGCGAGAAGCTGCTGCCAGAGCGTCCTTGGAACGCCGTGGCGCGCTAGAAGAAAAAGGGTCGGTCAAATGGTCAGAATAAAACACTGTGCTGTGTCACATGTGTCACATGATGAGTCACATGTGTCACATACTGACACTGCAAACTCTGCACACAATCGAATCAAATCAAACCTTCTGATTCTGATCCTGATCACTCACTCACTCACTCACTCACTCACTCACTCACTCACTCACTCTCTCTCTCTCTCTCACTCATTTTTTCAATCATTCATTCATTCACTCATTCATTCATTCATTCATTCATTCAATCAATCAATCAATCGAATCAATTCAATTCATTCAATATTATAATTCATAAATTCATTCATTCAAGTCGACAGTGACACATTCATCCAACGGTTGTGACGTTGGACCAAACTCATATGATTATGGTTCATATGATACATATGATTCATATGACATATGCATATGCAGCATATGCATATTCATATGATTCATATGTATTAATTGTTATGAGATGTACTGTATGTGGATTCAGGATTCATGTGATTCACGTGACGCAACGTGCGACACGTGTCATGTTACTCACGTGACACATGACTCTGAGACCATTTTGCGCCGCCAAGAAGCCGCCACTCCTTGTTCGCAGCCATTGGGACCAAAATGCGCTGCGAGAATCGAGCAGTCTTTGGGTTGGTCACCAGTCCGAGAAAGAGCTCGTTCTTCACTCCGTTCTTCACGTCGAGGCAGGCGAAGACCCGCTGAAGGTCCATCATGACCGGCGACGCAAAGCCACTTTTGTTGGAGCACTTGCGCACGTCCTCCATTGTCGTGATCTTGTTTGGGGCTGGCAGCCTGGCAGATTGGCAGGTTTGACTAGGGCAACTGCTGCTGCGACAGCTCTGTAACAAAGTCACGCGGTTGAATCAAACCTGTAAGGGCCGTAAGGGCTGTAAGGGGCTGCAATGCAAGCAAGCGACCACAAATCATCTTGGTCGAACTCGGCTGTCTTCAACTCGCAAGGCAAGATGCGCTCTGCGAAGTCAGCACTGCCTGAAACCGCCCGGAGCTTCTCGAAGAAGACATCACCCACAGCAGTGATTTGCGCGCGAATGAGCGCCACAATGGCGGCTATGTTGTCGCCCTCCAGCGCCTTACCGTACAAGTAGGCCAGATTGAACTTGCCGTCAGAGTTTGCCGCCTGGAGAAAAGTGAAGAAGGCCTTGCTATCAGCCTCAGTGCAGGAGCGGCTTTGCGACAACAAATCAGCTGTGTGAATTCCCCTTACGAACGCCGTATCCCGTATCCCGCATCTGTATCCGTACCATATCTGTGGCAACCAGATTTGGTGAACCTTCAATATTTGGAGTCGAGTGAGGAAGGAAGCAATTACAGCAGCAGCAACCGTCTACCGCTTGTCTACCCAATGATTACCCAATGACAAAATGTCACAAAGTCCAGTCTAGAGTCACTAGAGTCTATAGTGATTCTCTGCAGTCCAGGGAGGCTTTATGAGTCAAAGTCATATCATATGAAGTCATATGATATCATATGATTCATGGCATCCGTCGTGGCTTATGCGGTGGCTCTCGTTTCCGAACTCCGAATTCCTGATCTGTCTGACTGCCTGACTATCTCGACCAACGCTTAACTGCAAACTACTCTCGCTGACACTAACTGCCAAAATGCAAGCTGCAAGATGCCTACCGGCCTACCGTACCTACCCCGAAACAAGCTTCTGAGTCACAGTCACGCGTCACGTTTCTGCGCTGCAGCCGGGCTGCATCAACCAGCTTTTTTGCAATAAACTGAATGATGTCGGGCAAGGCGACGGGGCATTGCAGCAACGAGTCGACACACGCCTCCAAAGCCTTCAAGAGCTGCCCGTCCGGCTTGTCAAGGTCGGCCGCCAGGTCGGCAAGGGGCATGAACCTCAGGATGCGGCTGAGCTCCTTCACCCCCGTCACCTCCTCGCTCTTTTTCGAGATGGCTACGTGGAGCTCGCCAGCCTGCGCCTTCATGTCCTCCGGCGCATCCATGTCGCCAGCCAGAACGTCCAGCTCGTCCAAGAGGCTGGGCACCTTCGTGAGGCGCCTGTCAAGCTCCGCTGCCCGAATGACACTCCTCCAAACAACGTCCGGCGACAACTCCTTCAAGGACTCAAGCAGCTTCTGGGCCTGGGAAATCAGGCTCTCCCGGTTGGCAGCTTTCTTGCTTTCAGCCGCTGAGCTCCCGCCACGGCGCCTCTTGCTGCCAGGGGTCGCCGATGGTGCAGCACCATTCGGTTTGGCAGCGGCTTTGGCCGCCCGCCGCTTCTTTTTCTGCACGGGCGAGTCTCGGAGGCGCCCGCCAAAGCTCGACTTGCTGGAGTCATTGTCGGAGGCGCTGCTGTCATCTGTGGAAGAGTCTGAAGAGTCATTGTTCCGGCCCACAGCAGTGTCGATGGCCCCCTGAGCAATGCCACAAGGTCGTGCACCCGTGAACCATGGTTCCAAGGAGTCCCCAAAAAATCATTGCAACAATGGCAACAATGGTCAATGGGTCAATGGCATCAATGGGGTTCAAACTTCAATGTAATGGCCCAATGGCAATGGTCAATGGTCACCGCTCCAACCAAAATTTTGAGCGATGATTCCTTATCCTTATTAGTTAGCTGATAATGATTAAATTATGTAAATTATGACATCTGAATCATTCAGTCTGAATCTGATTGATTAGCAGTCCACTGGCCACTGATTCTCATTCAATCACTGTCCTGATGCGCGAAGCCGAATTCGCAAATCCCGAATCCTGATTCCCGTCTGAAGAAAGAATCACAATACCCGAATCCCGAATCCTTGATTCTTCCAACTCGATTCGATTCATCAGTTGGCGGGCCTGGCCTGCGTCGTGGTCTCAACGTCATATTGCGCCGCCGCCTTGGTCATCGCCTCGCGAGCCTCCGCCCTGTCATCGAACTCCTGCTCTTTGGTGCGAGTTGCAGAGAGGCGCTGGCCGCTGAGCATGACCGTCTTGTTGGCGACGGCCACGCAGTCCTTGTTGTTGGCCGGGTTCTTCACCAAAGGAATCTTGAGGACCTCCTTGATGTACTTTTTCCTCTCGCTGTCGTTCTTGAACTTCTTCTTCTTGGGATTGTTTTTCTCATCCTCCAGGAACTCCTTGACCGGGATCAATTCTGAGACCTCGCAAATGGCAGAGTCTTAGAGCACCAATGAAATGTCTAGGACCAATGACTGACCACCGATTTGTTCTCGACATGGTTTCTGAGTTGCTCCCTTTCTAGTCAAGTCACAATTGACCATCAGGCTTTAGGCAATCGATAATCGAACTTCAAACATTGAATGAACTTCTGAACTTCTCAATAAAACTGAGTAAACTGAGTCAACTGAGTCTCAATCAAGCTGACTTGATTCTGAATCGAGCCTCAATCAATTCCCTTCCAAGTCAGAGTCAGCTCATCAGCTCAGTGAACCCCACAAGTCCATCATATGATATTTTTGACAATTCATTGAGTGCAATTGAGTCAGTCATTGATGCAAAGGAGTCCCAAAGGAGTCAAAGGAATCCGATTCAGATTCAAAAGATCAACGATCAATGAGCAACAGCATCAATGGTCCCATGGAAATGACGGTAATGAATAGTAGAAATAGAATTTTCGAAACTGATTAATAACTGATTAGCCAAATGCCGCATTCAAATGCCAATCAATTCGCCAATAGATTCGATTCCTTGCACCATGCCAGATTTTCTCGGAAACCTCAACTGAGCCCCAACTCGTCCAGCACCCCAACTGCAACGCAGCAACACTGCAACACTTTCAAGTTCAACGGTTCAACTCAACTGTTCAAGTTCAAGTGTTCACGAAGCCTTCGTCGAACTACCAACTGCCAGTTGAAGCAGATTGAGGCGGACACAAGTTCAAGCAGAAGGTGCTGGCACTGGTGACTCGGTGCTGCAGCTCAATTTACTGTCAACAAATTCTTCAAAAAACAAACAAACTCAAAACCAAAAGCAGAAGCAAGCTCAAGCTCTTCGAGACCTGAGGCCTCACTCAACCTAAACCCTAAGCCTAAGCCTAAGACTTGACCTAAAGCCTGAAGCCTTTCCTTAAGCTTGGGCTTGAGCTGCAAAACTCGGCCCGGCCTGTTGGAAATCCACGTACGACTCCTCGCTGCGCTTTATGAGTTCCCGAAGGTCGCACCGCTCATGGCGGGTTTTCTTCTTCGGGAACAGAGCTTTTGTTTGAACTTGCTCTCGCCGCAGCTGAGTGAACCTCAGCTGACGGCTCAGCGGTCAAGATTCAAAATGGCTTGGCTCAAGCGCTTTTGAGAGGCGAAACAAAGACTGTGGGCCCTGAAAGCTCAAGGCAGCAACGAGAAGCCAATGTCTGCTTTATTGAAGAACTGAACAATAACTACTGCGATACGAGGTGACTTGGCCAATTTTGACATGACAGAAACTTAGAGACTTAGACTTAGACTAGAGTGACTAGATAGACTAACTAACTATAACTAGAGTCTAGACTAGAGTCTTAGTCTTAGAGTCTTAGAGTCTTACTTACAGTCTTACAGCTTACAGTGTTACAGTCTTTGTCTTAGACTCTCAGAGTCTGAGAGTCTGATTTGTCCGCCAGACTCTGACTGACTCTGACTGTCACTCATGACTCATGACTCAAGACTCAAAACTTTCACTGACTGATTGTGACACTGATAGTCTGATACTGACTGACTCACACTGATCAAGTCACTGATCAAAACAGTTTCGCCAAATCTAGTCTGTGTCAGAACTGAATCAACTGAATCAACTGAATGTTTAGATAGCGATTTAGTGCTGAGGAGCTGAGTAACAACACTGTCGAACGCCTGCTGGGCAGCTCGCCTATCAGTCAGTGTGTGTTTCCCGAGTAAGCATCTAAACGAACCCATTGAATCATTGAGAAGTCTTGATGTTCAATGATTGAAGAGTCGAATTGCAGGATGGCTAGGATCACAGTTGTGCAACCTGCGCGCCCGCCGCATCTGCAGCCAGGAAGCTTCTGCTTGACAGGCTCGTGCTCTGCCATCGCGCACTTCAGCTCGTTCATCTTCACTCCAGCGAACGAGCCCCGCTGCGTGTAGTTGCAGGGCGCGCAAAGATTGCTGTTCGCCTTGACCTGCTGCACCTTGATGTCGCGCCCTGCAGGCGTGTCCTTAGATGCTGTCGCTGCTGCGAGGCTCGTCGACTATCGCAGCCCAAATTCAACGTGGCAACATGACCTGGGAACCCACCTGCCCCTGTGCTTGGCAAGGCGTATCAAATCACTGCAGTCACTGCATCAAACAATTGACTGGAAAGGATCGGAAAGGATGAACAACGATCGACGATATGGACATGACGATAGGCAAAGAAGGAGTGGCAAGTAAGAGTCACTTACAGTGAGACTCAGTCACTCACACTCTGTCCGACGACCTCAAAACGGCGAAAACCAAAGCTGGCTTGCAACGCCAGTCCAAGCAGCTCTATCCACCGATCCGAAGGCTTGATTGCAGAGGTGGCAGCTAGAGTCATCGTCCGTGCTCTCTGCCATGGCCAGTCGGGGACAGTCAGGGTTTGGACAAGTGGCACCTCCAGGGTGGTTTGATCCAATCTGAAACAAGGAAATCAAGCAATTGCCGTGCCTACAAGTTGTCGCCTAGTTGAACTTAGTTGACTACGCAGACTATGCAAGTTCAAGGATAAGGGTCCAAGCTGGGCAAGCACCAGTCGGAACTTGGAACAACAGAGTTCAACAGAGCTCAGTCAATTTAATCATGAATCATGAGTCCATCATGAATGTGAATCAGTCAATCAGGCCAAATCAGTCTTACTTACGAGCGTTAGTCTGCCCAATGGGAAAATGTCTTAGTCAGTTTTAGAGTTGCTTTGTGAAGCCGTACCGTACACCTGTGTATCCGTTTCTGTAGGGATCACACTTGCAGGAAACAAAAATAGCGCTGAGCCAGCCGTTGAACTGACCCAACTTGAACTGCTAGACTCGACTCCTGCTAGACATCTGTGACTTTGACATCAGACTTGACTTGAATCAACCCATGTCATGCCTCCGAGAATCCTCTATTCACCCACCCGAACAATTCCGAATGCCGAACGAGTCAGTCAGTGAATCACACGATACATATGATACATATGTGACATATGAGTCGAGTCATATCATATGAGTCATGAGTCATGAGTCATATTGTGAGTCTGAGTCGTACATATGAGTCATATGATATATGTACTGTATGAGTATGACTGTCCGAAGCAGTGGCCGGGCAGCGTGCTCCTTCAATCCTTTGTTCCGTCATCGCACAGGCAACGCTCCATCCACGTCACGTAACGAAGCTCTGCACACAGCGCCATGAGGCCATGAGTCAGTCATGGACATGCAATGCATTCTCTCATCAGTAGCTCTCTTACTTAGACTTAGAAATTGCAACTGGAACTGTTCTCATTGATTGTTCTCTGATTAAAATTAAAGTACCCGTATCGGCCCATATCCACGTGTCCATGTGGCCTGGCCTCAGCCTTCAAGGTTCCACTTTGCGCGTGCAGCTTGCTGCATTCTGTCCAGAATTGGCATGTCTCGAGTCTGGGAGTACGGGAGCTGACTGGAAAGGCCAGCGCAACCTACGAACGCCAGTGATTCCGACAAATAAACAGTAACAAAAAAACAGAATTTAGATTTAGCCATAATAAATCAAATCAAATCATAAATCAAACCACAGTCACAAACTGCCAACAAACGCAAACAAGGTTGGACCATTATCGAAACGGAATTCAACCGGAATTCGGCATGGAACAAAGCTGAGTGTCCGTGTTACATACTGCATACTGCAACGCAACGCTGCAGCGACTGTAGCGATTGCCTGTCGCTGTATTAGTATTGCTACTGTCACAACTGTGATTGTCACACTGCAGTATCAGTATCATGGACCATAATCATGGATACTTAGAGTCTCCAGGACTAGAGTTACTAGAATCTTAGAGTCTTAGACTTAGAGTCTCAGAGATAATAATCTAAGTCTAAGTCTAAGTCTATCTAATTCTAATGTCTAATCTTAATCTAATCATCTAATCACTAATCTTAGTGTCTCAGTCTTGGTATTAAAGTCAGTCAGCTACATTACTACATTCATGAATGACAGACATTAAATAATAAAAGTCAGACTTAGTCAGTCTTAGTCTGAGAAGCAATGCCAATGCCGGTGATTCAGCAAACCAGGTTGAATCATCACCCCGACGGACTTCGGGGTCGGACAGGAAATGAGTTGAATGAACTAACAAGGGTGTCACGTCAGTCGAAAGCAAGGGTAAGGGCCGGTAAATATGTCGTCTGTCTAGTGATGGGATGGCGGGCAACGCTTGGAGGTCCAATGATTCCAATGGCCCCAAAACCCCAGACTCTCCCAGACTCAAGACTATGCAATGGCGTGACTCAGTCGCGCACCCTATTGCAAACTAATCAAACAAACCCTTGCTTGTGCAAGTCCCACAAGGTCAAGGTCGCAGATGTATCACTTGAACTGGCTGCGGAGTCCAGGTCTGAATCCGACACGGACGTGGCTGAAGAAGACCCTGACCCAGCCTCCAAGGAAGACGCAGACCGCGCAGACCCAACCGGCTCGGGCTCCACCTCGCTCTCTGAGTCGTCCTTGTTGGGGACGGCCAGCAGCGGAAGTCCATGGATGTCAGTCCACGCGCTCCTCAAAGGCCTGAGCAGAAGGTCTCTCCCTGGAGTGTTGGGGCAAGTTTGAGAGCGTTGACAGCATCAAACTGCTACTGCTACTACTCCTCATGCGTACTGCCTACTGCACACCACTGCAGCCACTGCAGCACTACTCCATACTATGACACGCACGGTACCACCTGCATCATGTTCCATGGATTCCATGATGTTAAATGTTGCACACGGCACACTGTATCTACCCAATCATTGTCATTGAATTGAATTGTGTCATTGACTCTCATTGACCCATTGACCAGTAAGTGAGCAGTGAGCAGTAAACATCAAACAGTGACAGCAAACAGTAAACAACAGTAAACAGTAGACAGTAGACAACTTATGATCCAGTGCAGTGATGATAAACATAGAAAATATAAATATAAGTTACAATCATAAGTTATCAGAAGTCATAACTTCACAACAAAGCAAAACGCCCTGGACTGCCATACTCAGTCGTCAGACCGAGAGAATTGAGTCGTACTACTAATCAACTGCTCAGTAGTACTCATACTGACTCATACTGATACTGACTTGACTCATACTGACTAATACTGATACTGATACTAATTACTAATTACTGTGGTCAGAGTACAGCTC